CTGTTGTTTTGTTCTTCAGTCTAGTTGTGGAGGACGTTGCTTCACTGGCCCAAGTTGGCACCATCATTGTGCTCTTCCCGGGTGAGGCAGATCAGTTGCCGGCTTCTGGGATCCAAACGGGGGCCCTCTGGCGTCCCAAGCCAGCCCTTAACCAACGTGCCACTCGACTGGCCCCAGAGAATTTCTTATTTTAGATGTTGAATTTTTCATCTCTAGATGTTTCATTTCATTCTTTTTATATTTTCCATTTTTCTCATGCTTTTGATTTCCATTAAATTCTTGTTTGTAGTTATAATTGTTGTAATATCTATGTTCTTATTCTATCATGTCTATTGTTTCTGGATCTGTTTCTATTGACTGATTTTTCTTGGTATGAGTTTAATTTTCCTACTCATTGTCATTTGTAGTAATTTTTGATAGTATGTGGAACATTGTCAGTGTTGCATTGTTGATTGTCTGGATTTTGTTATCTTCCTTTAAAGAGTGACATGTATTTAAGTTACTTGTGAATACCTTTAATCCCTTTGAAGTTTTTTTGTTTTTTGTGTGTTTTTTTCCTTTAGCTTTATTATGGTGCATCTGAAGTAGCTATTATTCTAGAGATAGTGCAGCCCTGGTACGAAGCTGTGAATCTTCATGGCTCTCCACTGAGTTCCCTAAGTGATTGCCGAGGACTCTGTACTTTGTTTCCGTGATTATGAACCTTGGAAATTCATTCAGCTTAAAACTCCCGTCTCTACTTGCACAGTCTTATGGAGTTTTACCCTATGCACGTGCCAAGTACTCGGCAAAAACTCAGGGGTGCCCACGTGCAGATTTCCAGATCTTGTTCTCTGTACAGCTCTTTTTATCAGAACTCTGCCCTATAACCTCCAGCCACTCTAACTTCTCCATTGAGCAGTTATGTTCTCTCTGTTTCCTGCAGTCAGGAAGTGTCTCCAGTTAGAAAGCTGGGTTGATTATGGAGATCACATTTCTTTCAGAGATCACGGTCCTGCACTACCTGTTGTCCAGTATTAGAGAACATTCTTTTTGTGTATTTTGTCTAGTTTTTTTATTATTTATGATTGGTGGCTGGAAACTATATTATATATTAATCTGATACTCTCTTAATTTTCCTCACTCTTGCATGTTTACTTTCTATAAGGAATATTAAAATCATCTTGTCTTGCTTTTCAAAAATCCTGTTTGTGTTTAATGTTATGTTCAACATGTAATTGATGTAGAGCAGCGGTTCTCAGCCTTCCTAATGCCGCGACCCCTTAATACAGTTCCTCATGTTGTGGTGACCCCCAACTATAAGATTATTTTCGTTGCTACTCTATAGCTGTAATTTTGCTACTGTTATGAATCGTAATGTAATTATCTTTTTGTTTTCTGATGGTCTTAGGCGACCCCTGTGAAAGGGTGGTTCGTCCCCCAAAGGGGTCGCGACCCACAGGTTGAGAACCGCTGATGTAGAGAGAGGTGATATTTTTAGAATATTGAACCTTGATAGTCAAGTACAGCAGCATTTACCTTTCTAATTTATAATTTTACCCTATTATGCTAGCATCTGTCTATGTGTATTTTATTAGGAGTTTTTACCAAAACCAGATATTTATTGTTTTCTTGTACCTTTTGTTTTTGTATGCAAGTAGTCATGAGTTTGGTTCTTTGATCTATTAGTATGGTGATTTATGTTTATGCATTACCTATTTTAATCCCATTTACGCATTCCTGGTATGAAACCCACTCAGTCAGTCATTATTACTTTAAATATATTGCTACATCTTCTATGCTGATATTTTGGTATGGACTTTTACATAGATTCTTGCCTTTCGATTATTTCAAAATTCAAATTCCTAGCCCTCATTTAGAATTCTTAAATAAATATGACAGACTTTCAAAATTCTTGAAAAGGGAAGAATTCTCAAAATGCATGAGGTAAATGCATTATTGTGAAAATTGGTTCCTTTTAGCACTATAACACTTATTTAAATGTACGAGTGTCCGGGCCGGCCGAGTGGTGCGTTGGTTAAGAACTGGCTTGGGACACCAGAGGGCCCCGGTTCGGATCCCACATATGAGGGCCAGTGGCACTGCCCTCTATAGCTAAGATGCTGAACAACAGCTTAACCTGGAGCTGGGCTGCCGTGAGTTGCCGGCGACGGCGTAGGTTGAAGCCCCTGTGGCAGTGGGTTGCCATGGGCTACCGTGTGTAGCCAGCAGCCAGCATGAGCGGCCAGCAGCCGCCGTCTGATCTGCCTCACCCAGGAAGAGTGCAGTGATGGTGCCAGCTTGGGCCAGTGAAGCAACGTCCTCCACAACTAGACTGAAGAAAAAAAAGACAGCGACTTGTCTGTTCCCCTTCCCCCAATTCCCTAGCAGTGTTCCCATCTCCCAATTCCCCAATAAAAATCTTAAAAATAAATGAATAAATAAAAAATAAAAATAAATGTATGAGTGTCCATGTTTTTGTTTCAAAATAATCATTACAGGACTCATTTTTGTGCTGTTTATCTTGCTTATAAGACAGGAACTTGTTTTGTCAAGGAGAAATAGGACTCTTTTTACTAAATCTTCTCAATAAAATGTGCTTTGTTATAAACTATAGGTTGAACCTGTACTTCTGTGGTCTAGATTTATCAGAAAAATAATTTAAACATCTGTCTCCCTATAGAACTGCTTTAGTTCTCACTAATTCGGTTACATGAAATGTTTTCTGTCTTCACAGGTTCATTTTAACTTGCAGTTTACAAAACCAAATACATCATTAGGAGATGTTCAGTCAGGAACAACTGTTAGTATACCTTGCTCAACTGATAAGGAAAAGTAAGTACTGTTGACATAAAATTTAATGTTTGCAATTTTGAAAGTCATCTTTAAGAATTTTTATTAGTGCTTGAAAACTATGATGCCTGCTTACTTATGTGACATTTTAAGTGGATGTTCAGTGGAACCTAAGTTGAGTCACTTTTAGTCTTTTAGTTATGAGATGTTTCTTTTTTTTTTTTTTTTTTAACTGAGCTATCCTGCCACCTGTTGGCAGCTCAGCAGCTGCTCGGCTCAGGCCGGGACTTGAACCGCTGTTGCTCAGTTTTTTTTTTGTTTTTTGTTTTTAATAGCTGAGCCATCCTGCCACCTGTTGGCAGCTCAGTGGCAGCTCAGCTCGGGCCGGGACTCGAACTGCTGTTGCTCAGAGCTCACACTCTTGAGTGAGCTCTTAACCAACTGAACCACTCGGCCAGCCCTCATATTTTTTAAACTGTAGATATATAGTAAATATTTACAGTTAGATATATAGTAAAATTTTATTTTTTATAAAAGATTTTTCTACATAACTGAAGATCCCCTTTCAAATATTCTTGGACAAGTAGATAGAAATCTTTTTAATTCCTAGTATTCAGCTGTTTTTGTTTTTCTGTATGGCTGAGTCTACCTTTCAAAGCTCTCTGTTTTTTCTGCATAATTGCTTCCAGTGTAAAGTAATCTGAGAAACCAGCAAGTTAAACTGCTAGAATTCCTTGGTGTAAATAAGAGTTAAAAAAAAAAAAAAAAAAGGTTTATCAGATTGTCCCATAGCTAACATAAATGAGCTTTAATGCCTATTTGTGACTTCTGTTTTCCTACTCAAAGATTCCTTCCTGTTTTATAGATCTTAAACAGGTCTTTCATAATGAAGTTTGTTGAATCAGTAAGTTGTAGCTGAATTAAACAACTCACATACGCACAATTGTCTCCCTAGGTAACTTTCATGTTTGTAATATTTTCTTACCATTCATTATGCTTCCTTATTTACTTAAAATGTAATGGCTTTAAGACCTGTTGGCTGGCACTTATTATCATGAGCTGTCACCCTCCCAATATATTTCAAATTAAATTACTAATATGGCTCAAAGAGGCTTCTCATCTGAACTTTCTTGCCTCTATTCATTGGCTCTTCTAAAATTGCCACCAAGATGAGTATTAAAATAGTTTGTGAGCCTCCTTTCTTTAAAAAGGTCAGAATTCTTTGAGGTCCTGAAACGTATATATTTGTTATACTTAATCTCATACTTGTACAAGAGACAGCACCTGGAATTCATATTTAATTACATCATACACAACAAAAGCAATTTTATTTGCAGAAAATATGACGATCATATTTACAGTATAAAATAAGGTATTGTCTGAATTTTGTCTGTTTAGAACTGGTGTGTTCTTTTATTTATTGTCAGCTAGTAAAAAGTGGCAGTGGGCTTCAGCAGTTAAAGAAAAAACATTAAAATTGAAAAAATACCTATTCTACCTACTTTAATTCTTTTCTGAAAATTGGGAAAAGACCATCATTTAATTTTAAAGTTATATTGTTTTGCAAGAGCTTTTAATTTGTTACAAGTATACTAATAGAAATTGTTAACACTGGACAGATTTAGAAAGGGGAAAAGTACAACTATAGACATAACGTGGTTTTTTTTTTTGAAATTTCGTATTTGTATTCATCTACCAGAATTCCTATTGATACAGTGTGTATTAATAATAGTGACAACTTGGAAGTACTCTAACATTTCGAAGAGCTTTTGGTCAAAGAAAAAAGAAATTCATTTTAAATATAGGATGAGATAGGAAATAAACAATATTAATATTCTGAAGGCATGCACATGTATATTGTTCTTGCATCACATATCAGTTATGTACTGTTTAAAATTTTATAGTACTCATAGAATGTTCATTTCTCCCACATGCCTTATACTAACTTTTAGAATTTTTAGTTTTGCTTATTATAATTTACTTTTTACTGGGAAAAAGGGTACTTTGGCTTATATATAGATTATTTGCTTAAGAAAGCAGTGAAGAATGTGATTTTTTTTGAGCAAAGCTGTAAATATAACTTACCTTATGTATAGCGCATATATATATATATATATATTAAATAAACATTCAAAATTAACTACTGAAGAGAAAATTAGACTTTGTTTTAGAAAAGTAAATTCTGTTTTCCTTTTGAGTGGTGAAAATTTAGGGCTGGAATCCAAATATCTGAAGAAAAGGGAAGACAGCATTCCTTTACGTGGGCTCAGCCAAAATCTCTTCAATAATCCAGGTGAGAAGACATTTCTGAAATAGATTGTTCTCTGTGGTTTAAATAAATGTATGTATAAAGACTGGAGTGAATATAATCTTTTTTTGTCTTCATTTACAGACCATCAAAAAGATGGCACGTTAGCAGCATTACAGACATCCTCAAAACCAACAGCGCTCCCTTCTGCATCTTCAGCATATTTCCCTGGACAGTTACCCAACAGCTAATCCTAGGGCCATCTTTTACTTTTTATTGAAATTTTAGAAATTCAGTTAGTTTCAAAATATATAAACAGCATTAACAGATCAAATCCTAAACAAGCAAGTTTCAAAGTTTACTTGAGCAACTATATGAGATTGTTTGGATCTTTTAAGTACTGCTGTCATTATGACAGACAGTTTAGAGGAGCAAACTTGTACCGTACTTGAGAACTGGTGAAGATTCGGAGAAATGACACTCTTTAGTTTGTGAGCATGGCATTTTATAGAATAATAGTATGAACTTTATTAAACTAATCCTTAGAAGTTCTTACAAATTCTAAGGAAAGAGTTGATCTTTATAAGGGACATTCTAATCATATTGAATATCTGTGTTAATCAAACTTGTTCAGATGTAATAGGAAACCAAAGAATGCTAATAATTCATTTTATCATCTTCATTGGTAAAATAAGTTTTAAATTTGCCACCTAAGAATTATGAGGGAAGATGATTATCTCCTATCTTATGTTATCAATGATATATACAGTAAAGGGAAAAGTCCTAAAATTACCTTAAATGAATTAAATCTTCATAACAGGTCATTTTCCTTGAAACACTTAAATGAGCTATTGAATAAGTGTATTAGTTAATTTTGATAAATTTGTTATACAAGTAACTGATAGTTATTTACATGGCCAGATTAGGTATAAAGTGCTTTAGTCATTTGAGCTGCAAAGTTTATAGGATTTTATTGCTTCCTGAAGTCTATACCCATCCAATTTTTCTTTCATTTGGAGTTTTATTTTTTTATGCAATTAAATCTGTATTAGTGGGATTTTGTTTTAAAAATTAGTACTATACAAAATCTATATTATAAGAGCATCATGAATATTCATTGTATTTGTTTTTTTATTTCAAAATGGGTTTAATGTTTGCTTAATAAAGTAAGCAAAATGAGTAACTTAGAAGTTAAAACTTTCTTCTCTTCCCTGTAAGTTTCAAGTAAGAATTGTTCCTTGGAAAAAATTAGGTGGTTGTTAAAATTCACCCAGAATCATAGGGCCCCATTTTTTCCTGTTGACAACCATCCAATAGAGTAGCATTCTCTTAAGAAATGTCTAAATCAATTTTTCCTTGCAAAGATTGTTAATGCTCATATGACCTTTTAAAAATTATTTCCAAGGACCATATTATACAGATGAGACATTTGAAGATATTAATGACATACCAGCAGTTCCATGGTAAGACAAAGAATCTTTGCTAATTTCTTAATGAAGCCATGATATTGAGTCTTAAACTTGAAACTGTGCTGGCAATTGCAAGCCATCTTCAAAAGGGAACTAATCTGGGCCGGCCGAGTGGCGCGATGGTTAAGAACCGGCTTGGGACGCCAGAGGGCCCCGGTTCGGATCCCACATATGAGGGCCAGTGACACTGCCCTGATGTGCCTCACCTGGGAAGAGCACAATGATGGTGCCAACTTGGGCCAGTGAAGCAACGTCCTCCACAACTAGACTGAAGAACAAAATGATGGCAACTTGTCTGCTCCCCTTCCCCCAATTCCCCATCACTGTTCCCATCCCCCCAGTTCCCCAATAAAAAATCTTAAAAAAAAAGGGAACTAATCTAAAAAATGTATAACTATTATTAGGCAGTGACTTTATATATAGTTCTTTCCTCATTTAGATAAACTACATTAGTAAGAATACTTGGTTACAATAACTTGAAAGCACTTATAATCTGGAAAGAAGCCTGCTGGCAATATTATAATTTGTTCTTGTAAATACTATGTCATATATAGATACACAAACACACACACACACACACAGAGGATGCCAAAAAAATATATATATACACATTTTTTGTTTCTATTTTTTTTTTTATTGGGTAAGGAAGGGAACAGTGTTGGGGAATTGGGGAAGGAAAAGATTGTGTTTTTCCAGGACCTGTCAGCTCCAGTTCAAGTTGTCCTTCAATTTTAGTTGTGAAGGGCGCAAGCTCAGCTCCAAGTCCAGTCACCACTTTTAATCTAGTTGCTGGGTGGGTAGCATAGTCCACCATCCCATGCAGGAGTCGAACCGGCAGCCTTGTTCAGAGCATGCACTGTCACCAGGTGAGCCATCCGGCCGGCTGTTGGCAGCTCAGCTCAGGCGCAGCTCACTGGCCCTTGTGAGAATTGAACCAGCGAACGTGTTGGCTCAAAGCTTGCTCTCTTAACCAACTGAGCCACTCGGCCAGCCCTATACACATTTTAAGAAAGGAAAAAACTCTTCAAATTGTAAGACTCAATATATACCGATAACAAAAGATGAATACAAGTCGTGTATACATTTTTTGGCACTCCGTATATAGAGCGAGAGGGTGCCAAAAACTGTATACACATTTTAAGAAAACTGTTATTAAAGTTGTAATAATATATACCAATAACAAAAGATGAATACAAGTCACGTTGACTTCTGCAATTACAAGAGGTGCTCAGAGTGGTTACCATCAGTGTCCAGACACTTCTGATTAGTGAATTACTGCTTGAGCAATGTTGACCAATGTGTCCACTTATATACATTTTTTGCCTCCCCACCCCCTTGGGGGGGGGTGTGTGTGTATAAAAAAGTTTATGGACAGGGTTTGGATGGGATACATGACATACAAGTCTCTTTTTTTTAAAACTTATGTAAAATTAGAATTTCCAAAAGATAGGATAGAGACCACTTTGGTATTAACCTGCTCAAGACTTTTTTTTGTATTAGATGTGATATGTATATATATAATGAGAGAGAGAGAGAGAGAGACTTTTGAATGTGCTAATTCTTTGCTCTACCTCTTAAAGTTTTATTTGAAATTGTTTTGCAGTGTAAATTATACATGTGTTAATCAAAATGTTACATTTAATGATTTCTGCAAACTGAGCTTGGTTAGTAAATACTATTTCGGGAATATGATATGTAAAAAGTATATAAAAACAAATAGGATTGCTTTACAACATCCCTGCTTAGAAAACTACTTCATTAATTTATGGAATAAGTTTTCATTTCTTTGTCTTCCTTCTATAGTGAAGGAAAAGAAATGGATTAAAAGAGAGAAGGTATAAATTTTTGATTTGTTACTGTAAAAATGATTGTTAACAAAGCCAAAACAGGCCCTATAGGGAATCACAGATCAAGACTTTCTTTAAAAAAAAATCATTAAAATATTTAATTTTATTAACAGAATATTTACATTTCTTTTAAGACCTATTTAACCATAGTGAATGTTCCAAGTTTAAAAAGCATTAAGCAATAACCACACACAAGATGAAAACAGTGTAAACTATACAATACTTTATGTACAATTTTTACAAAGTAACACTTTTTTAAATAATATAACTGGACACAAAAATATACACTTTAGAGAAATTCACATCAGTAATTGTATAAAGCTCTCTTCTAGGGTCCTGAAAATTTAGGACAAACATTAGCTCTGTAAATAAAGTGTTACTGTGACAGTCCTGAAAGGCCACTATATATATTTATCTACATATAGATATCACATTGACATTTTCAAGGCTACCAGCTTTACTATATAAATTTTAGATTATGTATTCAAGTGTTGAGGTTCTTATGATTATGCAAACAGTAAAAGAATAGTGGTGTAAGTAGCTGAGGAACAAATTCGAGCCAATATGTGGATTTACAGGCTCTAAACACCCCAACTTAAATCTACATGGCTGATATTTAAAAAACAGTAGTTACTAATGTTTAAAATAAAACTACTACAAACAGGCTTGAAACATGATTCAGATTTAGTACAATTTTCTTAAGCATTTTTTTAATGCAAACAATTCATTTACCATTTCTTTCCTTTAGTGCATCTGCATTAAGGCTTTGAATTATTTGACCCAGTTTTTACAATAATAAAATCTGCCTCAAGGTTTTACAATGTTAAAACGAACAGGTCTACAACTGTACTATCTATTCTGTCTCACTGCGAGTCAGCATAAATAGAGTTAAAGCTCAACACCTGAAGGAAATGGTAGCAGAGACATTGCTAGTATCTAAGAAGTTACATATAGTTTTTAATTAAAGGATGTGTAATAAAACAACAGCTTAGTGGCAAGAAATTGGTGCTAATAAACAAAAGGTTTCTTTTCAAAAAGAAACTGTAACATCTTTGGAAAACTGTCCGGTTCTTCTTTAGTTCCCACGGAGTTCATGCAGTTACATTTCTTAAGACAATCTTAAAAGTACATTGTAGATGGAACTGGAATGTGCATCCACGACTACAGGTGAAGCTGAGACCTGGGTGCTGACAGAAAAGTCTTCCTGATTTCTGTCGTCACACATTTGTGTCCTGGAGTAAAGGTTCTTTGGCCTCTCCTGGCGCCTGTGTACTATGAGGATGGCTGTGACTGCCGCAGTGCTTTCGCCAGCTGCTGGACCGTAAGCTTAAGTTGGTATGTTCTGGAATAAACAAGGCAACAAGCAGAGCCAGCAGCACCGAACAGGCTCCAAAGAGAAAGGGGGGGCCAGGGATGATGGAATTCTAGGGAAGAAAAACATAATGAGTATGATTTTTACACAAACATCTTTGCTCATAAGAAGAGACTACTTATCTTTTAGTAGCAACTGCTATGAATTACAAGCCAATGGCAACTCTTTCACCATTAAAGCCATAGTTAGAAAAACATTTCCTTTCAGGAGACAAGGGATACTATCATAGTGTTAATATAAAATTCTGGGGATACAGCGGTTTGAGTCCTGGCCCCAGCTGAGCTGCCAACAGGTGGCAGGATGGCTCAGCTAAAAAAAAAAATCTGGGGATAACTGACCCAAGAAACAGCCAAAATATTTTTTTGAAAACACCCTGTGCAAAAATTTATTGTCATTTGCAGCATAAAATTGGAACACACTCTATGAGCCTTCACTTACTTTGTCAGTTCAAGAGGAAAACAGGAAAGGAAGATCTCAAAACTAAAAAGTAGCATACAATGTTGACTACAGTAGCAGAATCAATGACCATTTTTCTTTGTTTAAAAAGTTAATTATACTAAGTGATTGAAAGCATGGAAAACATAATGTTGTGATTAAGAGAAATCAAACAGACCTTTGCTTAGCCCGAAATTACATTCATTCTTAGCAAAAACTCGTGCTGCCAGTTTTACCTGTAGAGCCCACAAATGTTTGCGTTTAAAACTATAGTCTTAGCTAGTTAGAAGATTAGTGTAGGATTCTGCTAAATAAGGAAGCTGATGAGCAAGCAATCTGTACTAGCTAAAATGATGTTTGCCATTAACATGTTCCGTTGTCACAAGGGAAGTGCGGCAAACCAGTGAACAAAGGGGCTCGGCAGCAGCTGAGGGCGGGCTTGACCAGGAGACTCATCCGTTACAGGCGTCTCAGGAGAGACAGGAAGTACAGACAACCAGTTGTTACCTATGCCAATAGTGTAATGTGATAAATTGGAATATTTTAATTCTTGAGGGAAAAACAGTATGCAAAGCCAATTTCACAGAGGTGTATACAGGAGAACAGTCCCTCAGTCTTTGTTTTTCAAGCGTTTCAGTTGATTTAAAATATGTCACATGATAGCCTTCATGACCAAAAACCACCTATCATTTTTCAGTCCAGCCACATGACCTATATTTGTATGACATGAATGACAAATCACCTGTTCAGAGTGGTGCTGTGGGCTTGTGTTCGCTCCCAAGTCTGTTCCTGTCATTGGCAGTTCTTTGAGTTCCACATGGAATATATAGAAAATGAATCCATAGAGAGCTGGTCCCAGACCATTGCACAGCCCTCGAATTCCTGTTATCATTCCTTGAACGACACCTAAATTATTGAAATAAATGATCTTTTATTACACTGCTGATTTTTTTCCTACCCTAGAGCCAGTACAAATCATCTAAAACCAAAGATTTTATCAGACACTACCAATTTACTGCAATGGCATTAAAAATTACTTAGAGGCCATCAGCTCTACAAAGTGTAAAAATCCATCTGATGCAAATGTGAGCTCAGGTACACCCATACGGAAGTCCAATGTAGAAACAAGTGGACAGAAGCACTTTCCTTTTCGCTGGCTAACAATCAGGCATGAGTTCACAAGCACAACTGTTAAAAACTGTCCCCAAGCAGCTACCTAAGTCCTCATTTAATCAAATACAGGCTCTTTTTATAGTTTTATATTTATCTCTGGGTTCTTCTCTCAAATTTAAACTGCAACTTGCTTTCCTTCCTCATTTATCAAGTGGTCATTGTCATTCTTTTGTAACACCTTTTTTTTCCTTATGACTAGATATCCTTTTCAAAGAATTATCAGCATTTCAAGAATTAAATGTTCCCACCACAAAGGACAAGACAATAAAAATGTTTGCCATGTCTTTAGATAACTGAACCTGTAAGATTTAATAAAAGGGTTATGAGTGTACCCGC